CCTAAATCACTCATACGCACAATTTAAGAACAAATCTGTGCGTACGAACGGTTCTTGCATGAGGCCCAATGCTCTTTTTTTTCCTTTGGTCAAATATTTTTAATTTAATTGTAAACAACCGTGTTAAATAATTTTCATTTATTCAGATGACGTGCCACAGCCCGGACCAGTCCCTCGCCATCTCCCACCCCCACCCCTCTCCCACACATGCAAGTGGTGTCAGATGCGGTTCTGAAGAATCAAGAAAGCATTTTAAAATGTCTCCAAAAAATGTTGGGCACTCATGAGAAAATAGCAGTCTCTCATACATGTGCTGAATCTCAAAATAAAATTTGATTAAAAAAAAAACAATCTATGTCTGAATAAAGCTGTTGACTATGTTCACTTCTAGTTGACCTCATTATATACCGAGACAAATTAAACTTCAATTAATGCAAAATTTATGTTGGTTTGAGATCTTCATATTAATATTGTATTGTTATACAACAGCAATAATAGGCAATTTAAATTATATCGTTAGCCTACATTAATATGTTTAAAATTATTATTCCAATTCAAACAGCCTAATGTCAACATAATTATGGAGTGTGATTTATTTTCAACTCAAAATATCTTCAAACTAATGAAATGTAAAGTTATTAGTGAAGAAAATCCATCTGGACAGGTCTGGACCACTCGTGAATTTTGTTTGTATCTGAAAAAAATCTTACGAGAAAATTGGTGAATGCGATAAGTTCTCCTAAATCACTCATACGCACAACTTAAGAACAAATCTGTGCGTACGAATGATTCTTGCATGAGGCCCAATGACCCTAAACACATTGCTGAAGCAACACTCCACTGGTAAAAGAAGAACCAGTTAAAAGTCCTGGAATGGTCCAGTCAAGCCTCAGGCTTCAGCCCAACTGAGAATGTCTGGTTTGATTTTATGATTTATGGACACAACTGGCTTCCACCTAATTTGAAAAAGCTGAGGAAGTTTTTATATGAAGAACAGACAAATTCTGGATCAGATGTACCAGACTCACACAGATGTACAGAAACTTGCTGATATAACTGCTGCAAAAGGAGGTTTGATGTACAAATTGTTGATTCTGGAAGTGAACAGATATAATACAGAACCAATACCAATACTACTATAGATACTGGGATGCTGGCATGGATACTGTATTCAATGTTCCAGTTTGCATTTCAAGTGAAAAGTCAGTTAGTTCCATGTTTAAGACATTTATACATGTTGAAAAAAAAATCTTATTTTTATTTATTTTAAAATGTTGCAACAATATGTATGCTGTGTTTGATGGGGCGCATCCAATCAAGACTGTGCTTATAAGAAAGGGGAGCCACCTTGTTCTAAATAAAACAAATGTGTTTTTAAAGTCCTCATGTAATGTTTATGTTCTAATTCAGCAAGTACTCCGCAACCATATTTGGTATCAACAAGTACCCAAACTGAAATACTCTATGAAGTACTCAGTTTGAGAAAAACTGGTATTGGGACACCCTTAATATTAATTAAACTTATGTACCATTTGAGTTCATTAAGTTTTTAAGTCATGAAGTTACTTGTGTATGACTAATGCATTATGGGTAACATTCAACATGAACAAAAAAGGAAACCTCTCAGTACCATAGATGTTATCTATGTTGCCAAACAGGTGCACACACTATAATTGTTTATTTATTCATGTTGTTGTTAATATGTCTTTTCAAGGAAATATAATATTCTGTATATATTTTTGTTTGTACATTTGGTGAAAATATGTTTTGGGACTGTTCTAATGGCAGACATATGCACGATGCTTAAAAACGCTGATGTATGAAACATTTAGGTTTGAACATCTTTAACTTTTTTAAATGTTTTTTATGAAGAAGCGAGTCACCAAAATAAAAAAATTGGGATTTTCCATCTGAAGGCCAAAAGTGTTCATAAGATTTATTATCATTTTTCATCCAGCAACAAAAACCTTAACGCTGAGAAAGACTTACCTCAATACACGTCTTCAAGTCTGCAATGTTCATGACCATGCCAGTTATGTGATCGATCTGAGGAAGTATAAGCAGACTACAAGGTTAAAAGTGAACCTAGTATGAGTCATCTTTAACTGGGTTTTCCTTATTGTGGTATTTTTAGGAAGACAATTTGTATCTCATATATTTTTCATAGAAATGTTTGTGTAATACTCACCTTTCCACGCACAGTAACCTCCACTGGGGAATGAAACAAAAGAATGGGACTAAATAAAAATCCAAACACGCAACAGCCAACACGCTATATCAC